GATAAGCTATCTTTACCTTTCAGTTTAATGGAAAATTTTCAGGAGCATTAGTATTCTTTAAGTAGCTGTTAAAGTTAATACATTATGTCCTGAACCCTTACTAGTTGGGAGAGATTTTATTAGGGTTTTAATCTCATTGCTTGTTAGTGATATTTTGTGTATCTTTTTAGTTCATTTTGGTAAGTCATCTGTATGTGATTAGGTCATCTGTATGTGATTAGGAATTTGTCCATTTCTTGTCATCTCTAATTAATTGTAGTGCACATTCTCAAAAAGTTTTTTCTAATAGTTCTCTAGATCTCAGCAATGTTTGTTGTCCTTTCACCTTTTTCAGCTCTAATTTTAATTTAGGTCCTTTCTTTTCATAAGCTTTGCTAAGGACCTACTGCTCTTTAGAATAAACTCTTAGATTTATTGATCCTTTCTATTATTTTAGTCTATTTCATTAACTTCAGCTCTGATCTTTATTATAATTTTTCTTTCTTCTGTTCTGGTTTGGTTAGAAAGACAAGAGTCTTTCTAGGACCTTGAGATATAACACTAAGTTATTTAACTGAGATCATTTGAATTTTCTAACGTAGGCACTCATAACTATAAATGTTCTTCTTAGAACTGCTTTCATTGTGTTTCATACATTCCAGTGCATTCTGTTTCCATTACATTTGATTCAAGGAATCTTTTGATTCATCTTCTGATTTCTGATTTCTTTCAACGATACACAGATCACTCAATAGTGTATTATTCAGTTTCCATGTGTTTGTGTGGTTGCTGTGGTCTCTTGTGCTGTTAATTTGTGGTTTCATTCCTCTGTAATACAATAGGATGTATGAGATTATTTCAATTTAGTAGGACTTGCTTTATAGCCTAGATTTTAATCCATTTTGAAGGAAGTTCTTGAGGCTACTGTAAAGAATGTATATAATGTGTTTTCTACTGTTGGGTGAAACACTCTGCAGATATTTATTAAGCCTATTTGATCTATAGTGTAGTTTAATTTTGATGTTTCGTTATCAGTTTTTGTCTGGTTGACGTACTGATTTGTGAGAGTAGGGTATTAGAGTTACCCTCTATGATCGCATTGACGTCTGTTACTGTCTTGTGTGAACTAGTATTTGCCTTATGTAATTGGGTGAATTGACATTTTGTGCCTGTATATTTACAGTTATTATTTCTTCATTGTTCTCTTTTTCAGCTTTCTCTTTTTCAAATTTTTATTTGAAATCTACTTTGTTAGGTATAAGTACAGTTACCATGGCTTGCTCTTGGGTTCTCTATAGTTGGAGTATTATTTTCCATCCTTTTGCTTTCAGTCTGTGTATGTCTTTTCAGGTGAAATATGTTTCTTGCATGAAACATATAGTTGGGTCTTGCTTTTTAATCTAATCTAATCTGTGTGTTTTAATTGGAGAATTAAACCATTTTTAGAGGTATGTACTAATTCTTGTCATTTTTTTTTTTTTGTTTTTCTAGTATTTGATTCATTCTGATTCTTATCTGGTTGTCCAAAGACATTCTTTCTCGTGCTCTTGTGGTTGTGATTGTCTTTTTTTTCTCTATATTTAAGGTTTCCATAGTATTTTCTGCAATATTGACTTGCTTATTAATTTCTTTAGTTTATACTTTCCTTGGAAGGCTTTTACACTTCTGTTTTAAAGGGTACCCTTGTAGGATATAATAATCTAGCTTTTCAATTATTTTCTTTATGGGCTTGATGTACATTATTTCAAGCCCTCCTAACCTTTAATTTCTGTTTAAAAAAATCTGCTTATATTCTGATACGATTGCCATTGTAAGTTTAGAGTTTAGAGTTTCTGTGAGCATTTAATATTCTTTCTTCGTTCTGAATTGCCGGCAGTTTGACCAAGTTGTTGACAGTTGTTCCTGTTCATGTCTATTTGGGGTTCTAAATGCCTCCAGTACCTAGCTACCCATCTAATTCCCCAGATTTGGGAAATTTTCTGCTATAATTCCAGTAAATGGAATTTTTATGAATTATCCTCTACTTCTTCACCTTCCTCCAGTGCAGTGATTCTTCACTTTGCTCTTTTACAATTGTTGAAGAGCTCCTCCATGTTTTATTATTTCTTACTCTTTTCTCTTTATTACTGACTGTTGTAGTGTAGCCATCTAGTCATTATGCCCTGACGGTCTTTCTTCTCTTTCATCAAAAAAAAAAAAAAAAAATTAATTGAATTTTTATTTCACCAATTGAGGTTTTCATTTCCAGAATTTGTTTGATTCTTTTTCAGAACTTCTGTTTCTTTACTAAAATGGTGTTTCATATCTGGCGTTGTCTTATTTAGTTCATTCACTGCTTATTTTTATTTTTTGACTTCGCTGATCTTTCTAATATTGATCAATTCATGCTCATTAGTATCTTCCTGATTTCATTTATCATTTTAATTATCAGTGTTTAAATTCTTTGTCTGGAATTTCATGTTTCGACATTGATGGTATCAATTACAATTTTTGGAGGCATCTTGTTGCCTTCTTCCTCACAATTGGTGTGTTTTTGTGTTAAGGTTTGCAGACCAGATGGGATGTTTGTTTGTTTGTTTGTTTATTTATTTATTTACTTTTGGTACCAGGGATTGAACTCATGACCTCGTGCTTGCCAGGCATGCGCTTATGCTGCTGAGCTAACTCCCCATCTGGGATGTATATTTCTATTGCTATTGTGCACGGGTCTTTTCAGTAGTTGCCTTTCTCTTCGTGTTGTGCCCTACACTGTTGGTATGTCTTAACATACCAGCAGCTCAATGAAAGCACCTACTCAGCCTATTCAAAGTGCTAGGGTCAATCTCTAGCACTGCTTTGCAATGAGAGAGTAACTTCCAGTAATATTAGCATCTGAAGAACCAATCATGTATCAACATAAAAAACTTGTTTTGAAAGTTTTCTACTGTTTCACTAACCCAGTAAAAGGAGAGTAGCAATATATGATAGGGTAGGGAAAAAAGGAATTAATGTTCATACTTACATATGAGAAAAAGGGGAAGGAAGAAGAATATGAGAGGGTATGAAAGAGAAGGAAAGAAAGAAGAGAATATAAATAGAAAGTGAGAGTAGAGATATGGAGATTTAATGTACTTAACCAACATAAGAAAACAAAAGTCAGACAACCCCATGAAACAACCTTTTGTGTTGCAAAGCACGACCCTTCTCTAGGAGGCAGGCTCACCACTCTGCACTGCTGTTCACCTGAATGCTTCTGAGCAGGGTGCAGGTATTGAGCACACAGGATCTGTATTGTACTAAGATAAAAATCTGCCGACACCTAGTCTTAGACTGGTCCCTGCAGCAGTACTCCAGACTCAAATCCCTTCCCCTCATGCGTCTCAACTCTTTACCTATCACAGAATTCACACTGTCATTCTGCACTGTTTTGTTGTGTTTTCTGTCCCTTCCTCTGGCTGAATGTGCTAGCTGCCAGCTGGGTTTCATGCCACTTGGCTACTGCACTAAGACTTTCCCAGCCAAGAGTCCAGTCTTCTGTGACCCAGCTGCTAGGGTCATTCCCTGTAACATATGATTTAGTTTTATCATCACAGTACCATTTTCCTTGGTCCAAGATGATTCCTAGGAGGATGCCCACTGCCTCCCTGCAGACAAGTGTTTGCTGTGTTCTAGAGACAAAACAAATGTGGGAGCTCTTGTTCTTCCACACTGTGAGCCAAAGCAAATTTAACTTTCTCTTACTCCCCAAGAAAGGGATGCCTCCTCTCCTTCCTTGAGCTGTCAGTGCCAGTACACATGGTTTCTGTTACTTCATTTGTGTTTTTTAATACCAGTATTTCTAGGTTTGCCTGGTTACTTGCTCCCTCAAGTTGCAATCCAGGGATTTTCTATATTCCCCAGCTATCTTCTCAGCCAGACATGTCCTTGTTGGTTTGGTCACATATCCTGGAGTGGCCTGTAAGAACTGGCCTGTGTGATGAGAACTTCCATGGTTGATGTCTCCAATTCTCGTTCATTTCTTTAAAATATTTAGTGTGAAATATTTCAACTCTATAAACCAATTCTTGTTCATTTCTGTAAAATATTTAGTGTGAAATATTTCAACTCTATAAAGAGTTATTCAGATGCAATATAGTTTCTACCTAGCTTAACAGAGAAAATGGTGCATGTCAGTGGAAACCGCGATGCACCTCTGTCAAACCTATTCTCCACCATCCCCAGCTATCTGGAATTTAGCAATCATCATTCCTCAAAAATTCTTCATATTGAAGGCTGCATACACCAGTGTGTACACATTTTATGCTTTTAATGTGTCAGTTACAATAAACTTAAAAGAAAATTTTAAAATGATGGTTTTAATATTAAAACATTCACAGTTTCTGTAGATACTCCAGTTTTGAAATTCGTGAATATTATGCACTCTGGCCTCCTCATAGTGTAATTCATATTTAATTATTTTGTTCCTTTTCAAACAACATTGTCTTTTCTTCTTTCTTTTTTATTGATAAGTGTTTGCTGTACACAATAATTGCATTTATCTTGGGGAATTGTTATTTACATCTATTGCATCTTAATCATTTTTGTTTTCCTTCCCCTCCATTCCCTCCCACCTCCCCATCCCTCTTCCTGGCTCCAAAATTGGTGTCCTTTCCTGTCATCTTTTATTTTACTCTTTAAGTTATTTATATTTAACTTTACATTTTATAGAAAAGTCATCGCTACAAATTTTGAAATCCAGTTTTTAAAAGAAATTCCTTATAGTCATGTATTTGTCTGTGTCAACAATATGTAGTATTATTTTGCATATATTTTTAAACTTCATATAGCTTATATTTTATATGGTCTCCTGAAACCACTTTTTATCTTCATTTGGGATACTTCTGCCAGTATTAATTTTAAAAAAAAAAGTAATGCCAGTGTGTATTATGTGGAATAGTGTTTGGTCCCTAAAATATGACTTAAAATGCCTTAGATTAAAAATGTTATGTGAAAAATGAACATATAATGTAGTGTATAAATGAAATGTATTTGTATCATTTCAGGTTTAATATATAACGTATCCTCTCGTGCTTTTTCTGTGCCCCTTTTCCCATATTGTCGACAGTTGAAAAGGACGAAAACATGTCAGGACAAAAATGGTAAGTAACTTTTTGCTTGTTATAAATTGGAATAGTCTACTAAGGTGGACATCACATCATTTATGCTCAGTAAATTATTTAATGGAAAAGTCAGGAGACCTGTTAGCAGTAAATAACTTGTTAGTCTTTCTTCAGTGCTAGCTATTCCCAAATTCAGTAACCCTACTCAATATGGAAGAATGAGAGACTAAGCAAAAAAAAAAAAAAAAAAAAAAAAAAAAAAAAAAAAAAAAAATATATATATATATATATATATATATATATATATACATATACATATATATATATATGTATGTATATATACACACATAAATTTTTGTCTGATGTGAAGTTTCTTAATTCTCTTTTGTGTAACATTTCTCTTGAGAGTCTAATGATGATTTTTACTACCATGTTTTCTAACTTAATGAGTTGATGTATTTTTTTAATCACTCTTATTAATACCTTCCATCATTCGAGACATAAGGGAATTTAATCTAGGGTAGCTATAAAATAATGATTTTATAATCTCATACTACTCAGATTAACTTATAGTCATGGCTTCAACTATCATGGCCACTCAAAAGCTACTTGTGGTTGGAAGTGTGTCACGCTGAATAAAGTAGATGTGGTAATCAGTGTGATTTCCTCATTCATATGCGTATAACACATCTAAGTGGCATAAAAAGCTTCTTACAGGTTCCAGAGCTGAGCCGTTTGCACACATGTCTCATCAAGCAAGCAGATTTTTGTCATTTTACCATCTTTAATTTGCATGATATAAAACAAACGTAGTACATACTTTCACTTTTGTATACAGTTAATTAAAATAAGAAACTTTCTAATTCCTCCCCTCTCACTAGAGAAGCATTCAGGCCCATGTCCTCTGTAATATCGAATGTCAAACTGCAAGAGAACTTTTGAAATATAATGAGTTTTTAAAGTAATTAATAAGTGGCTAAGGAATATCATTTCCCTAAGAACACCCATCTGACAATCATCTAAGTGTTGTCAGACATTTTTCCTTTAACTGTTTCACCTTTCCTTATGATTGTGGGCTGGCTTTATCTCATGACATTGCAGTGGCTGTCATACCCTGGTAGGAAGCTCAAACGAATAGTACTTACTCATCTAAGAGACTGGAGGGGCCAAGGAAATAGACCCTTTCCCAAACTCTTTCTCCCAGTTACTGTACTTCACAGCTTGTGCTGAATTGCAGTGAACTCTAAACTGCAATATAAAGGTGTAGATTTTAAGCAAGATCTTTAACCATTCAAAATCTAAGATTTCTCTTTTTTTGTTTGTTTTGTTTTGTTTTTGGTACTAGGGATCGAACTCACAACCTTGCGCTTGTCAGGCAGGCACTCATGGAGCTGAGCTAAATCCCCAGCTAGATTTTTCATTTTTTTTGCAATGATAGAGACTAAGAGGTGCTCACCAGATCTCTGAAGTCCCCCCACCTTTTTTTTTCAGAATTGAAATTTTTGTTTCCTGTCAATCTGTAATTGGTAAAAGAAGATACAACATGGAAGTCCATCCTATGGCTCATTTTTGAGAATCTAATTCTCAAAAGAATCCAGCCTTGGGGATGAGTCCTTTCAGTCTTTTAATCAGCTGTGTTACCATTGCCATTGCTTTGGTGAAGTACTTGCCCCTTGTATCTTAAAGGTTAAGAAAAGTTTGGCTCAGAGTTTCAGGGAGTTCAACCGTGGTTGGCTGATTCAGTAGAGTCAGAAACAGCACTGAAGAGGAAGGGGCCAGGGAACAGATAGTGTCTACTAGAGTCATGCCTCCAAAATCCACCCAGATACATGCAGTACTTACTAATACCCTAGACAGCTCCCAAGCCAATCAGGTTGACCTGTCACATGTACATGTTACATCAAGAGATTATCTTTAATATAAATGTTATACATATTTTTACTTACTTTCTCTGGTACGAACTCACAATTTAAATATTTAAATAATGCATAGAGATAAAGCAGATCATGAAAATCTCCCATAATCCTACCTTTCTTTCCATACATGACTATTGTTAAGGAAGCATCTGAAATGCTGGCATTTTAAGAATAAATGCACAAGTTGAAAATTAGAAATTTTAAAGAAAAGTAAATAAAAGTATAAAGCATCACATTTAGAAATACTGGTATTTTGATCTAGTGGTATAAAGTAACTCATGGGATGGAAGTCTGGACATCTATTCTGGTCATGGACAGAGGTAGGATGAGGTACATATGTACAGAAAACAGACATTTGGGACCCTGGTGGGCCTTTGGAGCTGAAATCCTCTACCAGGGAAAGTGTAGGTAGAATAGGGAGGAATGCACTACCCACAGCAACCTTACTGTCAGCATTTGGGATACTACTTGTCATTTTCTAAGAATTCCACTTCATTCTGTTTTATTTCTGATTTCATCCTTGTATTCTTTTTGGTTCGCTCTTTACTGTGACTTTTCAGAAGAATGACTTCTTATCTGTATTTTAAGAATTTATGTTGAAGATTTAAGTTTTTAATATCAGAGGTCTATTTGGGGAGTTTGTTTCTTTTACTTTTATTAGTACATTTTCAGCACACAATAATTACATTCATCATGGAGGATTGGTACAAGTACATACAACATGTGAATTCTGTTTTCCTCTTTCCTTCCACCTCCTTTTATTTTGCCAGCATCAGAGTCATTTGTTTATTTTATAAGACCTTACAAAGTTAATTGTCATATATACAGATTGAAAATCAGACAAATGGGCCAAAGAATATATGAAACATGTAAGATAATTATAATAGATCAAGGTATACTTTTAGTACATTATCCATACTGGAGTGCAATACTATTTTTTAACTCTCTTTTTTCCTATTATCTGTCTTTTAATTCAGTGTGTGTGTGTGTGTGTGTGTGTGTGTGTGTGTGTATGTATGTATTGAATTTTTAATACATGAGAAACCATGCAGTATTAAACTTTGTATTAACAGATTTTAAATTTTTATTTATTTTATGTTGTGGTAAGAACAATTAACATGAGATCTTTACCCTTTTCACAAATTTTTGCATACCACAACACAATTCAGTAACTCTAGATGCAGTATTATGTAGCAGATCCCTAGAACTTACTCATCTTACATAACTAAAAATTACATGCCTGCTGATTAGCAAGTTTCTTCTTTCTCTTTGCCCAGTCTCAACCACAATCCCTACTCCCTGGCACTGAATTTGGCTATTGTAAGTTCCTCCACCAGACTTTAAGTGTACTGTTTTTTCACCCTTTACCACTTCCCTGCCCTCTCCTCACTGTTGGCTTGGTGGTAGAGCAGAGACTGTACCAGTCTCTGCCATTATTGTAGCTCCCTGGTGCTTTCAACCAATAACCGGCCTCCTCAGCCTGATTTTCTCCATCTGCAAAAGAAGAATGTGCAACCTGCTGATGCCTAAATTCTTGTCAAGGTTTAAGTTTCCTAAAAATGATTCTAACTTTCCTCATTTTAACTTTTATGATTTTAGAGTCAGAAAGAATCAATTGACTTTCTCAGTGTGATAAACACAGCAGAAGCATTTACAAGTTTATTAAAGTTGTAAATACCAATGTATACTGGAAAGTCAGAGTTAGATAAATGCTTTTGTACTATAATATCTTAATAGCCATGAAATTCATACATAAAACAGCTCTTTAAATGTTTTTAGTGGTTATTCCTGGGACTTACAGGACCGATATGCTCAAGATAAGTCCGTTGTCAATAAGATGCAACAGAAGTATTGGGAAACCAAGCAGGCCTTCATTAAAGCCACAGGGAAGAAGGAAGATGAACATGTTGTTGCCTCCGATGCAGACCTGGATGCCAAGCTAGAGGTGAGCACTGTGCTGGAATCAGCTCACCTGGGCAGGCCTATGTGTGCTTTGTATTTGAAAATAAGGAGCATCTAGGATCAGGGAAATTCAGTCCTAGCACATCAACAAATTCTCATTAGCCACTATCATGACTCAGTTAATTCATTCTTTAAGCACCTCATTGGAATCTATGGCCTATGGTAAATTCCTATTAAATGTTGCATAAAATTAATACAATCAGAGAGCTGTGGCTAGTGATATCTGAAGAATGATAATGGAAGGTAAACCAGACCTTCCCGAAGAGCAATTTAGGCTAAATTTGATAGTATCAGTGCCTTGTCCAATGAATCTGGGCTATTCTTGTACCTGCTGGTTGTAACCTTGGTAGAACTACCTGGTTTCTCTTATTTTGATTTCCTGAGAGCATGAAATGGAGATGAGAATAATTACTTATTATAACTGCCATGAGTGCTAAATTACATAACTAGAATGGTGGCTAATATTACCAAGTGCTCATGTCCCAGGGACTGGTCAGCACCCTTTCTATGCGTTATCTCTGATACCTGGCAAAGCCCTTGACATGCCTGGTCCCTGCTTCCCCATCTTAGGTTTTCTCTCACAACCCTTACATTATCCTCACTACCTCCAGCCATAATGATGCATTCTCAGTGCTTGAGCGACAGTCAGGCAAGTGCACGTGTGTCAAAGCTTTTCCTATGGTCTGACTGAACACTCTCTAGATCTTCCCTTAATCAGCTTCTTCTCATAAGAAGCTTCTTTGTCTCAGCCAGGTGGTAAAAATGCCAGATGAAAAGCCTTACTTCAGTATACTGTTTAAAGTCACATTTTTTACCCCAATTCCCCACCCTCATCCTGTATTCACTAACATACATCCTTATTTTATTTTGCTCGACATTCTCATCTCTGATTAAATTGTCTTAGGTATTTGTGTGCTTGCCTTCTCTCCACCAAAAGGTCAAATTCCATGTTAACCATAATACCCACTGTGTCCCCAGACAGTCACACAGTACACATTCATACGAACTAAGTAAATAATTGTACATGTTCATATGATTACTGTTCATTCTCAGCCCTTTCTGTACTTCTGTAATTGGAAGTTTTGAAATTAAATCTGAGTTGGGCAAGAATGTTCTCAAGGAGGTCCTACTATTGAAAAAAGTAGAGCCAAGAAGCATCTATTCTGATTTTTGCACTTAAAGGATGCTTTAGCATTACTCTGATTCAGCTAAGAAGGAGAATTACAGGCCAGTCTTCCTAACGAACATTGATTCAAAAATCCTTGATAAGATACTGGTAAACAGGGTTGAGGATTTAGCTCAGTGGCAAAAGCGCCTTCCTGGCAAGTGTGAGGTCAGGAGTTCGATTCCCAGTATAAAAAAAAAAAAAAAAAAAGATACCGCAAACAGACTGTGGCAAATTGACAAAAAGACTTGAATGATGGTTTAAATTATTAAATGATCTCAGTATGGAGTTACATGCCTGTAATCATAACACTTGGTAGATAGACTGAGGCTGGAGGATCTCAAGTTCAAGTCCTAAATAACTTACTTAACAAGACTCTCTCTCAGAAATTAAATGAATGAATTAATGAATTAATGGGCTGGAGATGTCACTCAGTGTGAAGGTCCTGGGCTCAATTCCTAGTACCCTCCCCCCCATTAATATAAGTTGTATATGATTTTCATATCTTATAGCTTTTTAAATTTTTTACAAGCTAGCAAATGCAACCCTTATTCTAGAAGTAATATACTACTTACTGCTAAGCTAAACATTGTACTTTTATGCAGGCTTATGGAGCAGGGCTTTTATTGAACCAACTACACTCTAAGCCAAATACCTATTGTCCTAGACACTTTGCATCCAAATTATTAGCTGTGACTAACAATTTTACCCATGATAGGTGTTTCTGTTGCAGAAAGGTTAATACTGACATTGAAATACATAGAGAGCACTGATTTCATCAATAAAATATGAAAGTTATATTCAAACCACGTGATACCATTTTATACTGAGTTACTCCATGAAAGGCTAATTTGTAGACCAAAATGTTTTATTCTACCAGCCCTGATCATGTGCCATGCCTTAATAAGGGTCAGATTCTCTTGCCATCCATTGGGAAGTTGATATAGAAATGTTATGCTGATGGTCCGACATGATAATAGTATCTGTAATCACAACATTCTGGGAGACTGAGACAGGGAGATGGCAAGTTTGACCTCAGCCTGGGCAGTATAGTGACTCGGCAAGACTGTGTCCCAAAAAATAAAAAAGGCATAGGGACATAGCTCAATGGGAGGCTCTTGGTTCAGTCTGCAGTACCAGATCCCACCCCACCCCCAAAATGCTAAGTTTTAGTATTTGTCCATACTACTTGTTAATTAGATCATTGTTTTTTAAAAACATCAATGGCAGTGACAGTCTCTGAATGGCTGCCAGGACAGGCTGGACTGTTTTGATGATAGAAGATGCTCCTTATCTTGCTGTGAGTGTGGGTATATAAGTGTGTAATATCATCAGAACTCACGGAACTGAACACTCCAGAGCTGCACATTTTACTGATTTAACTTACATCTTAATTTTTAAAAAGTGAACAGTAATAGTAGAAATGCTCTTTTCTCCTGTTTTGAATTAGAATCAGAACATCTTGATGGTCTGTGACTCAAAATACTGATTTCCTAGGAACAGATTAAGACTGCCGATTTTTCTTTGTTTTGTGATAAAGAATATTTGTTCTCTTACCTAAACAGATCAAGGATGCAATTTAATAAATTAGGTAATTTATATTCTTCATGACCAGTTCTATTATATTAAGTGTCTTCAGCATGGATTTATCATCTTTTGAGAATATATGCATGAATCCACTTTTATTAGATAATTTAGCCATTGATAATGAAGCGGATCATCTGTTTTCACTCAAATGTTGAAGTGCTTTGTGATACACAAGCATAATTTTTTCATCCACATGGCCAGTAAACCAGAGAGAGAGGAAGAAGAAAAACCTTGCTCTGCCTTATGGAGAGGCTCGCAGAGGCAGCGTGTTCATCTGCCAGGTTTTCCTGTTGATACTGGCCCATGTGTCTGAGTCTGAACAGAAGGAAGATAAAATATAAAGTCTGTGTTGTGTTAGCTCCCATCATGGTGTCAAATACCTGAGATAAATAAAACTATAAAAGGAAAAAGTTTGCTGTGGCTCACAGTTTTAGAAGTTGAACTTTGTGGCCCCATTGCTTTGGTGCCCAGGTTGAAGCCTGCATCATGTCCGAAGTGTATGGTAGAGAAAACATATTTACCTGATGGAGCCCAGGAAACAGAGAAGGAAGAAAGGGCAGTGTCCCCATCCACTTCAAGGGCACTTTCAGAAACCTAACTTCCTTCCACTAGGTCCCACCATCTTCCAATAGCCCCATAGGCTGGCACCCGAGTCTTTGGCCTATGGGTCTTCAGGGAACACTTCAGATTTAAACTCTAACATCTGCTCTATCTTTACTGAGCTGTCTTGGTTTATTAAGCAAATAATAAGACCACCATGAGTTAAAACCTAGTTAAATTCTCTTCAATAGAGTCCCACCTGCTTTCCCCTAATTTTCTCTAATATGGCAATCATATGGCATTATGTTGTCTCTCTGTATATTTTATGAAATCATTAGGAAAATAAATAGTGATGTTTGCTTCTAGCTAAGCACTGTTGTACCAGATGTCTTCTAAACAGGCAGAACATTCAGCTGATTGATTTTTTGTTTGCTTTATTGAGTTGTTTAAGCATGCCATAAAATACATTAGGATCACAAAGTAAGTTAATGTCATCTTTTAAATATGATGTTTACTTGATAGATCCTCCACTAAAAAGAAAAAGACAGCAAGTGGTGAAGGGAATAAATTAAGTTACAAATGAATATCAGATCTCTGGTTTACCAAATCCTCCAGTTGGGGCCTTTACCAGGTCTTCTGTTTTTGGCTATTATTTCAGTAGTCTTGAAGAAGTAATTGTTGTATGCATTTTAATTTAGACCACAAAAATAGTGAATTCCAATTAGAATACAAGCAAAGGCACATATTTAAGTGAACTGGTCAGTCTTTGTATAGTTCATGACATAACACCAACACACTTAAACACAGGATCTTGTTTCGTAATGGACAAATCAAATACTATAGTTTTGTCCAGTTTGATTATTTTCAGTTTGCTGCTGTATTTTTATTTTGTGTTTTGTTTATATTTGTATTACAGCTGTTTCACTCAATCCAGAGAACCTGTTTGGACTTGTCTAAAGCAATTGTACTTTATCAAAAGAGGATATGTTGTAAGTATTCCATAAATACAAATATTGATCAAATAAAGATTTAAAGAAAAGCAAGATATTTTGCCTTAATATATCATTTAATATATTTGGGAAACTATTTCAGGGAGTTTGTCTTTACTCTTTAAGCCACAAGGAAGATCTCTAAAATTTTACCAATAATTTATGTAGACTATTTACCTTTCAAAACAAATCACATATTGGGAGAATTGTATTTTAGCTCTCCCATATGTATGGAGATATCATTTATTTTCCCAATTAAAAAAGTATTTTCTCAGTTACTTTGGGCTTTTTAATATGGGGTTATTTTTATTTCATTGCTCTGGCTCTCTTACATTCAGTTTTGTTCCTTTTAAACTGGTCAAGTGTTATACACATGTACCAAATCCACACAAGGACTGTGGAACTACGTATGGCAAACATGTACCAATAAAACAAAAAACTAAAGGGGATCAAGAAATGAGTAGGGGAGGAAAGGATGAAAAAGAAATGAAGGTGTGTTAGGATCATGTAGGTATTCCCATAAGCAATGTAAATATTATTTACACACATACACTAATAAACTAAAATTTAAAAAAATAAAATGGTTAAGAAAAGAAAGGAGACACATAGTTAATGCATTGATGATACGTTACTGGCAGTACTTTTTGAAGAAAATTTCTTACTTAGGTTTTAAATTGCCAGAGAACTACAGTTCTGTGTGGTCATCCTGTCTTAAAAGCATATTGGCAAAGTATTTCTGAAATACCAAGTATAAGCTGTATGTTAATATATTTCGGACTTCCATTTAGCAGTCATTCCTATCTAATGCTAGAATGTGGGAACTCTTCCTGTTGTTGAATGCTACCAGATCTCTTTCCTAAGATACAAGTTAACAATTGGTTGTTTTTCTAGGTTAGTAATGTTATTAAGACAGACATTTTAGGAAAGTCTCAAATCATAGCAGCAACCTGTGCATTATCTATGCTAATATTTACCAAGTGTTCCAGCTAGGATGTCTCTAGGGCTGTAACTCCAGAATTTTGGAGAAATCAAGAAATAGGACATGCATCTCCCAGCCTCTTCTGTTCTGCATGTCATCAACCCCAATACTAGTCTGTTTAGTGTCCTACATAGCTTTTGGTTTGTCCTGTCTTCCCATTCCCCAGCTCAGGCCTTCTGTAAGTCTCTCACTTGGTCTACTAAATCAGCTCCCTAACTGGTCATCCTGTTGTCTCCACCTCAGCGGCCTCTATCCCATTGTCTGCTCTGCAGAGTATCAGAGTGTCCCTTTGAATATGAATGGATCACACCTTTGCTTAAACACTGCATTTGGGGAATTATTGGTTTAGTTCTCTTATATTATACTCATCATGCTGCTAATACCATAAAATAAATTGTTTTTCCTTTATGATAGAACATATAAGATTGTGACTTTTATTTGTTAAGGACACATGAAGTCCAGTGTGCCCTATTTTTATTAAATAAATGAAGTAGCACTGGACATGGTGGTGTATGCCAGTAATCCCAGCACTCAGAAGACTGAGGCAAAAAAATTACTGCAAATTCAAGGCCAGCTTGAACTGCATAGTGAAACCCTGTCTCAAAAAGACAAGACGAGGATGGATAAATAGGTAAAAATGGAAGAAAAGGTGGAAGCCTACAGATTTTCTGTAGTGATCCTCTGAACAGAAATTATGCTTATCATTTGTTGTAATGTTTGTGATAGAAAACCTAGAAAGACCTCGCCCCTGAATCACCTCAGGTTAGGTAATAGAAATATGACTGAACACACTCAGGACTTTCAGATCCCTCTGACTCTTCAAACCACAGTTACATTCCATGCGCTCCAGAGAATACCTAATACCCACCAGGACATGGATGGGGAGAGTCTGGAATGGAGTGCAGACAGGAGAATCGCAGTACAAATGAATAATATCACCACATCAACAAGAGAAGGGAGGAACTAACCTTCACAATTTTTAAAAGCCATAGTTCAAGCTGGAACATGAAGTACATATTAAAAATTTATATTTTAGTATATTTATTTCATATGAGTTAAAGTTAGAAATTCTGAAACTACTTACTGTGTACTGAGGGTAAAGCCAATCAGTGAGTAGACTTATTGTAGATAATGAGAGCCTGGGTTCCCATTGCCTGTGGTAGGAAGAAGTACAAGGAAAGGGAAAGGCTAGAATAAATGTTGTGGTGTTGTACTGGATTCAAAGGTATTACAGAAAGTCATTGTCTATATAAAGAGCTAGAACTCCATACAGTTAGGTGTCTGGGAATAAATATAGATGAGTGCATGTAAATGAGTAAGCATACATTCATGAATTTCTTGCCTCTGTCAGCTGAGAATACCGACAACCACTAGCTCCCCATGTCAGTGAATACACCGAGCATTCAAATTTGTTTCTAAATAGGTTTCCCCACGCCTTGGAGAAGTGATTGATTTCAGGACTGGAGCAGGGAAAATTCAAAATGAGCCTGGAATATCTTAGAATGCCAGAACATAAGAAAGTACTTAAAAATGACAGGCATATTTATTTTGAAAGGAGACAAAAGCAAGCTTGTGGTCAAAACTGGTACAATTTGAGCAATAAAATACTTAATGATAGTATTATGCTGTAGCCCATAGGAAGAATGATTGCTCATATAGAAATGATGGGTGGGTGGGTGGGTGGATGGATGGATGGATGGATGGATGGATGGATGGGCTGATGATAGGGACTACTGTTTCCAGTTAATAAATATATTCAAGTTAATAAATATATTTTAAAAGAACCACAAAACTCCCACTAGGCACAGTAAGAATTATGGCAGATTGGAGTCACTGAAGAGTAATACAATTAGCCAGTGAAATTTTAAGCAGAAACGGTATTTGCAAAGTCTCATGGATTTTTAATAAAAATCTTTAAGATTTTTAATAGGGAAAAAAAATGAACCTAATAGCGGAGACCCAGCAAATGCTACCTTAAACAAGTCATAGAGGTCAATGTCCTCAGAGAGAAAGTATCGTGCTGCCATCAGGTATTCCTTGATGCCATGCACTGAAAAGGACTCTTCTCTCTGTGGTGTCCTTCCTGCGATCCATAGTCCCATCCTAACCACAGACCCAAACTGAGGGACATCCTACCAAATGCTTCTAGAAAGCAAAATATTTAAAAAGCCATCTGAGTCTGAAGGACAAGAAAGGCAGAAGCCCTGCACAAATTGGAGGAGACTGGGGAGACTCAGTATGTCACTGAAACATGGGATTTGAGACTAAATCCTCAAAGGAATAAGAACATTCATGGGAGACCATAAAAAGTCAAATGACATTCATATTCAGTTGGCAGGACTGAGAGTGCTAATGTCTCCATTTTGATCACTGCACCGTGGGAAATATTAGATGATCTGGGGAAGGATACACAGGAATTCTTTTCTGTAAATGTAACATTATTTCAAAATAAGTTTAATGAAAGCATAAATTGGATCATATTGCTCTTGTTTTTTAAAGCCTCCAATAAAAGTTAAAGTAGAATCCAAACTCTCATACCATGGCTTATAAATAGGTCTAGTCAAGGTCTCCAATCACCTTTCCCTTCTCCCATGAAGTTATCTGAAGCTTTTTGTATTCACTGTTCTCTTCCTCATAGTATCAGGACTGGTCTGTGCTTGTCATTCAGAGCTTGACTTATTAGTTATCTGCTCTGAGATGCCTTCCCTGGACATTCAGTCTAAGGCTCCCAGTAACTCATTCTCATTGTTCTGTCTGGTATTTTTTTGTGTGTGTGCGTTTCAGAGTTGTATTTATGCATGTTTTATTTTTTATCACTTGCAACGTAAATATGAGCTGTCTTAAGATCCGGAACCTCCAGTGTCTCGTTCATCACTGAATTCCCGGTGGCAGAAGAGTGTCTAGTGTATCCATAACTCTGGGATGAGTGTGTCAATGCTGCCAAGCTAATTAGTTTCATAGTTATTTAGTTACTTTTTTAAAAGGCACATCTGAAAACCTAATCAGCAAATGTAAATAGGTTTTTATTTGAATTTTAAGTGCTAGTTAACTGAAATCTTTGTGTTTAAGTAGAAACATCTGAGTTACCCAGATACATGTGTTCCACTTGAATTTTAAACTTCTACGTACATTCTTTACTTGAATTTCTTAAAGAATGACCATGTCTTCTCAAAGCTTAGCTGATAGAGCTTACGCTTTTTCTGTCCTATTTTCAGAAGCATTTCCAATTGATGAGTCAGAGCTTCAAGTAAAACCTGCTTACCACTCAAGTTTAATCCTCAAGTCCATAAGACGACCAAAAATTATTTTTAAATGTTTCAGCCTACTCAGGTTCATGTAGGAGAGAGTATATTTAACAACCATATAACTATTCAGTATCACGAGTTAGTTTCTTCCTGGACATAAGACAAACATGTTCATTTGTGTGTGACTTGAGGCTTCAGGGTAATTAAAACAAAAGAAAAATTTAATCTCACATTATTAAGAGTGTCTAAGTTACTTTCTCTCATTACTGACACAAGATGCCCCATACTTACAAGTTAAGGGAAGAAAGATTTATGTAGGTCACAGTTTGTAGGGGTTTCGGTCTGTCATTGGCTGACTCCAAGGCAGGATAGCAGGGCAGACATGCATCACAGAGGAGAAACAGTGCATGGTGAACAGAAGGCATCAAAGCATCAAGGACCAGCCACAGCTGTTTCTATCCCTTATATCTTATCCAGGCTACTTAAGGCAGATAGCAGCACTCACACCCTTAATCCTAGTGTCCCTATTACTAGCAGTACACCATGAAATCAATTCCAGGGTCATCCACTCTAGATTCTATACATGAGGTTTTGTGGTGGGGGGGGGGGGAGACATATAAACACAAGCCATAACAAGGAGCAAAATGGGAACTTTATTTGCATAGAGAAAGATTCATTGTGAAATTGAGTGAGTCACATGCTAGTTGGTGAAGAGAAGAAGTGAGAGGTTTTAGAAAACAAAACACCAAAATCCTCTTACAATTTTAGAAAATGTTAAAGCTACATAGAACCATGGCACAAATATCATGTAAACACTCAATATTAAGTGAATGAAATAAAATTTAATAATAATGGGAAAATGATAATTGATTCAATTTCACAAGCATTTAGTTAGCCCTATGTATTTTATGCTCAGCCCAAAGAATACAAAATGGGGATGAAGTCCATGTCCTAGAAAGCTGAGTCTCATGAGACAGACACAAGCCTACCTGCACACACACTGACACTGGTCCTACCATAGGAAGTGTAATAGAGGTATGCAAGGGCACTGCTGTCCAGAGCCATAGGCTAGATACTTCACAGAAGAACTAACCTCGGAGCTGGGCCTTGTTCTGTGAACTTGATTTTTGAAAGAGAACAAGAGAAGGAAAGCCATCACTTATGCCTCAGGAAAATAGATTTTAAAAGCCTCTTCATGCTAGGGTCCTCTCAGGGGACTCTTTAGAGTGAGCCATAGTCACATATTAATAAGGAAGGAGTAGTGAGTTTTGCCATTGACTCACTCAATTGCTTTCAGAATTGTTTCTGGCCAGCTTCCTATAGCCATTGTTGAAGAGGTTTTGTCAGGAATGGGGCACATACTGGATGATTCTTGAAAGGCTCACGACAACAGAAGAGAACCGTAGAAGCATTTATGAAGCAGTTTTAGAGATATGTGCTATATAACAGTATTAAAGTAGAAATGTGAATAAGAGTATTATTTAGTAAGTGCTGAGTAATAATAAATGCAGTGTTTAGAGAAAAATAATCAGCCTCAGAAGCTTGATGTCACCTGTCTTTGTGAATGTCTTGTTGGTTTGTGCCTGGGACTCTACCCTGTGCTGTTATGTGACTCCTCTAGATTTTACTGTAAGTCTCTAGAATAGGAGTGTTTCACTACTATAAAGAGGATACTGATTATATATGTACTCATTTTACTACTTCCCTAGAATTTAATCCTAGCAGTATTAAAAAGATGGCATGAAAAAACACACATACAATTCTGTGACTTCTTGTATTTACTGCTTATTAATCTGTAGAAAGCTTTTACCAAATCACTTTATCTCCAGTACTTGGAGATTGTTTTTAAAAAGGAGGTCGAGGTCAGGCATAAGCAACTTAGATTTGGTTCTAACTCTATTTCAAAAATCTGCCAAGTCCTTCACATAATGACCCATGCCCCCTCTCTTCCTGTCCTCACCACCAACCAAAACCTGTTTCATAGTGGAGCAGAGAGTAACTCAGAAAGTGAAGATGAAAAAGTCAGCAGGAGAGAATAATAGGAGGCAGCCAGCATCGCATTATAGGCAACCACAAAAGATTCCCACAGTCGCACTTGACAGATCCAGCGCCTTTATTTCAGCTCGAAGCAGCACATTATGGGCTTGCTTTTCAGTACAGAGGTCATTTTCTGGTTCTGATTACAGGGCACCAAACTCACTGACAGATGTATTCAAGTGAATTTGATCTCGGGTATTGTAAATGGAAGAACAGCATGAGAGTTAAATGGCAGGGTGGGGGAGGTGGGGAGAACTTACCTTGCAGCGCGCCACTTGGGTTTAATTTCACCGGGTCTTTGCCTCTGAAGGAGAGCAGACCTTGTGATTTGTTTCTCCCATTTTCTTTGTAATAAAAATGCTCATTGTTCACAGTTCCTTCCCATCTTTTCTTCATCAGTCTTGTCTCAAGAAGAAAATGAACTGGGAAAATTTCTCCGATCCCAAGGCTTCCAAGACAAAACCAGAGCAGGAAAAATGATGCAAGCCACAGGAAAGGCACTCTGCTTTTCTTCCCAGCAAAGGTGTGTGGCCTTCATCGGGGCTCTGTTTTGTGGGACAAAGAGAATCTGGGACCCATGTACTTATATGAAAGGGAACTTCACAATCTTAGGAAGGCTTTTGGCTGAGGCTGAAGAGATGCTCAGGACTCAGTTGTTAATTATTTCTACTTAACACTGATTAAAATAACACAGAGGATTCTTTCTTCATCTCTGGTAGTTTAAAACAACTTCTTTCGTATTTTTTTCTGGCCTGTCGGGGCATAATATACACCAGTCACTGTGAGTGCTGCCCAGGTTTGTATTTAATCTTCAGTGTTGTTCACAGGCTGGGCCCCTTCCAGCAGCTGATTAAAGCAGGAGCCTAATGAGACTGGTTTAAAGGGTGTCTTCTGTGGGCCAATTAGCTGCAGAGGTGCTGTTCAGGATGCTCAGAACCACACTGGCCAGACCCTAGGCCAGCACTACCACCTGGGAGTCTGTTAGAAATACACAGGTCTGCATTTTAAGAAATCCATTGTTGATTTTGTTGTATGTTCAAATTTGAGAAATTTTGGCACAGGACCAATTGTGGAAGATCAGTAGCATTAATACCACCAAGGCTCATTTTTATGGGAGCCACCGTGAAATAAGCAGGAGCCCCTCGCACAACTGTTCTTTGGGCCTCAGAAAGAGGACCATTATTTTACTGTCCCCCTGCCCAACGGCTCACAAGGCTAGCCCTGAATATTGCACACTGGTGTTCAGCAGAATTGGATCTAAATGAAGCTTTGTAGGTAGTTTCCAAAAATAGTTAGGCTGCAGAAATTTCGCTTACTTACAATTGTCCATTGCTCATTAATTTTCCTTCGTGCTTTTCCTTGGGCCAAGAGCAGGCCATTGGCATGCTGTTAGGTGGGTATTCCTATAAAAACCCAACTAAGGCAGAGGAGAATAAAAGAATGTAGCATGTCAAGTTTTCAGTGATCCTATCCCTGAGAATTCTGATTCTTCTTAATGACATTTGGACCCTGACCATATGGGCAGTGCCAACTCTCATAGTTGAATGAAACCATTTCCAATATTTATACTGGCTTTCCAAGTAAGTGTTTGACTATAATCTTGAATTGTACCTTAAATACTTATTTATTGCACCTTTCATACTTATTAATGTTATAACATTTTTCCTCGTAAAAAATGAACATACTCAATTTTTAAAATTTAAAAACAGAGGCAAAATAAAAGAAGAAAACAAGTTTTGCTAATACAGATAGATCTACTTTTAAGCCCTTGACACTTTCCAAGTATATTATAACCTTCTGTCTGAGAAGGAAAATTGATTCCTTAAAAAAAATAAAACATAGCTGGGGATTTTTAGCTCAGTGGCTTAAGCGCCTGCCTTGCAAGCGGCACTGTTGTGAGTTCAATCCCTGGTACCGGTAAAACAAACAAACAAAAAAATCTTGCATTTGACTTCTACAAAGCCAAATCCAGGATACTCCCAGGGTCAATATTACTGATCGTGTTGTTCATTATTCTCAAAAAGTATAAAACAGTGCCTTAATTATGTGTAATCTAACCTTGAGATCCAGTAAAAGATATCAATGAAAACAAATGATTCTTGAATGTATCATTGGTATAAATGAGCAAACTGTACTCAGTAATTTAATGAGGTGTGGCCAACTTGCATTTTAGAGGCTCGCCTCCTGCAAGGTGGCTCCGGTTTCATGACCTCAAGGTGCTCATCAGGCACATGAAATCCCAACCAGTCTCTTAATCATTCAGAAAGCTGAAGATCTAAATGAACTCTTGTGAACTTAGATTCTTAGTCCTCAATGAACATGAGTTAGGGTATACTAAAATGCATTTTTAACAGAAACAGCCTCATACCTGAGAGTGTCTGTATCCTATTATATACAGATTATTTAGCAAATTAATTTTTAAATGAAATAATGCTAATGTGTTTGTTTTTTGGTACCAAGGATTGAACTCACGACTGAGAGCTTGCAAGATGCTTATGCTGCTGAGCCAAATCCCCAGCTTCTTAATGTCTTTCTTTTTATCTCAGTGTATACATCTTTAAAATAAGTCATGGTATAATAGGCTATAATCTGGATACACTTAACACTTCTGTTCATTTCTTGGTTTGCTTCAACTTTTTCCTACTAAAGGATAAACATAACTAGACTAGACCTTCAGACACTTTGTTTATTATTCTCCTTGCATGAGTTTTTATAAATAAAAATTCGGGCCAATCTTGCACTTAGAAGATTGATATTTTGGGTTACTGAGTTTCTTCTTTGTCTTTCATATCACAAGTGAATGAGCTTTTTACCTTTCGGATCTGATATGATGCAAGTTACAAGAAAAAAATTGAGGTGATGTGTAGGCTTCCCCCCCTTGTCATAATGTTATTGCAACTTCAAAGATTTCTATCCAGTTTTCAGACTATTCAAGAAAATAGGCAAAATTCAAAGGAAGAGAAAAACAGAATTCAGAGATAAACAGATTCCTTTGGGAAACGTCTGAGGACAGCTTATCTCTTTCAGAAGATGTCTTCAGTTATACAGACCTTTACCCAGTATTTGCTTAATGGGCTTGTTTGCTAGTCTTGCTGTAATTGCTTATTCTGCCCAGTGAGTGATGAATATGAAATTTAAACCAACAACATAAAACACAAAAAATATAGTACAAAAAATGTTTCTCTGAAAAAACCTTCAATATCTGCAGGATAATGTGGACAAGCTACTTTTATAGAAACACTCAGTATTTAAAACAGTAAAGGCAATAGGGAGGATAGTAAAAGGGATATTTTCTCCTGAACAGTTGATCAAGCTGCTTATACTCTCACAATGCTTTGCACGTGAGGCAGGCAGCCCAGACAGTGATGGGCCTGCCAGAAGCTGACTTCAGCAACCTGCCACCATGGTTCCCCTCAGCTTAGTAAGTCTGCACTGAAATTGAAATGTAGATATTCATCTGATTTTCATATTTCCCTGTGCCCTGAAACCACATGGAGAAGAATATATTTTAAAAGTAAGTCATCTGGCATTGCTCATTTTAGGTAGGAATATGGAAGAAGCAATATTTTCCACCCAAAATAAATATTTTATCTGAAGCTCAAGACACTTGAAAGTATTTTTCTGAATAAATGACAGTATGTTATGGCTAATATTAGAATTTTACATGTGTGTACTTGTTTTTGGTATGAGTGTTTTGGATTTTTATAGAATTAAATCATGTAACCTACTGGATAATAGTAATGTACAATAGATGCTCAGTAAATGCACTTATTTCTCTTCCTAAAACATTTTTAAATACTTGAATTCATGCTTTTTCCTTTGTGACGATTGGAGAAAGCAGCAGATGCCTCAGCCTTTAAGATCAATCAAAATGGTCAGGTCAGGGAGACCCTGATCCCACATATTCCCATCCATGTCAAAGGGCTGAACTTCTGGGGAGCAGATCAGATGAGTAAGTGCAGAAATGGAAATGGGATTGCCCTTCCTTGAAGCAGGATTGGTTCCAAGTTCAAATAAACTCTGCCCAGGCTTGAGGCCACCACCAACATTATTGGAGGTGCTTGCAGATGATCCAGTTAAGTAACATAACACTAAAGGTTAAGAACATGGGTGGTCACTTCTGGGTTGCTTATCAGTTCATATACATTTTAATTATTCATCAAATCTTGATGAATCTTTCATGTGGCAGCCAATGTTCTACATTCATGAATTTAAGGTGGACAAAAGGTGAGGGATTCAAACTGAACTGTTGAATGAATGGCTGAGTTTCAACATTGTAGCTTTGTCCTCTTGTCCAGGTTGGCCTTGCGCAATCCTTTGTGTCGATTTCACCAAGAAGTGGAGACCTTTCGGCATCGAGCCATCTCAGACACGTGGCTGACAGTGAACCGCATGGAGCAGTGCCGGACAGAGTACAGAGGGGCGTTGTTATGGATGAAGGATGTGTCTCAGGAGCTCGATCCAGACCTTTACAAGCAGATGGAGAAGTTTAGAAAGGTAAGGGTTTCCTGTCAGCTATCAAAAGGGTACCTGCTAGAAGGTAATGAAGTGTGATTTGAGTCCCTCTGGTAAAGAAGACGTAACTCAAAGACACCAAGGATGCAATTAATCATCGCTGACATATTCTTATGTGACAGAATACCAATTAATGTGATATATAATTCTCTAAGGATAAGAGAGAAGAGACAGCTGGAAATTGCTGAAATTTAGTAACTGGCTTTAATTAAAGTTGGGATTGCATATAATGTGAACTTACTGTAATGTTGTTACTTTTAAATGCCTTTTCATGTATAACCAAAAACCAAAATTAGATCAAACAAATCAAGAAAATGAGAGCAGACCACTAGGGAAGTCTCTTAAATGGCTGATATATATTAGAATTGAGAAAATAATAATGCTTGGTTTCGTGAGATGTTCTGAAGCAGTGAAATTTTACTGTAGAAATAGTTGATGAGGGGTATTTATCATACTTTTCAGAAATGTCTCTGAGGCACGCAGTAGCTGATAGCTTTTTAAATTTTCCTCAAATAACTAGCGAACTGTGTAGGAACAATCTTCCTTTCATGTTTAAATTCCTGTGTATCAATATAGTTGTTAGATTGTGTCATACAAAGATACATCCTACCACTGGGTGGCAGTCATGCACTGAGCATGTATGAAAATGTGGCTTGATTTTTTTTTGTTGTTGTTGCTGTTGTGTACAATCTTGGCAGTTCTTTGTTTGGTCAGCTAGACATATTTCCAGACGGGAAAAGAAAAAGAATCAGCCAAATGTTAGACTTGACATAATACTGTGTCAACTGTCTTACTCATTTCGAATGATCCATCTGTGATTAGAGATTTTGCTTAAAATCCCTGCATATCCTTTTAAGTACATCATTGCTGAGCTATGAATAGGTAACCTTGCTGGTGTCTAGGAGGTTAGAGGTGTGGGAGTGGAGAGGAGAGACTTCCTGTTGCTAGGAGAAGGGTTACTAGTTCTTGAGCTAGATATTAGTTGGATATGAGTTCCTCTCGAAGTCAAATTTTCTTTTGGTTTGTTTAGAGTCCTCTATAAAAAGAATTCATACAGGATTCAGTTTTGTTGTTACTGTGTTTTCTTCAGATCACAGATATCTTTCACATGTTAGCACTATCTAAATTCTCAGTGTAGCAGACTTCTGAGCTCATGGAAAGTCAGTACTGAAATGCTTCGTAGAGATGATTTGGTGAAACTCACTCTTATAAAAAAGAATAGAAAGCAGCTAAAAAAATCAAGGTAGTAAATAAAGCTTTATAGATTCTGGTGAATCCAAGCTACATTTGATATTTTCTGACTTTCTACACATGCCAGTAATTTGCTTTGTCTTTAACACTTTACTTAGGGTATGAGGATAATGGTGTGAAAATGGATATAAAAGAAAAGAAAAAACAACAATAGAAAGAAAAAAACAAAATAATAACACCATCTACAGGGCACATTGCTTATCACTGTCACATATACCTCCTTAGGGGGCACGGTAATCAACACGTGAACTTCATTTTGTACATAAGGAAAATAACACCTGTATTAGTAACTATCCCATAGTCAAACAGGGAAAAAAATGCCAGAATCTTGTGAAATCTGCATAATTTTTTTACTTAAGAGACAAGAAAAAAAAGTTGTTAATTATACCCATAGTGAACACAGGGATTTTCACAGGTAATACCTCCCCTGTGATTTATCCATTCAGTCAACAGTTATCAAGCACTTCTTATATGTCAGATAATGAAAATGAATACATGATTATTCTGGAAGGTAAAAGAATTTCACATGGAATTGTTTTTATATGGTTTTATTTGGATTTGCAGGGACAGTTACTAACTGCATAAGGATGAAATAAAAACTAGTCCTTCGTCATTCGTTTGAATGTTGAAACATTTCCCACTATTCTTTATCATCAATCAGTTGATTTTGGAAAATATGGTTCAAAAAATTTTTTTGCCATACAAACATAGCTGAAGCTATGCCCTATTCCCTAGTCCCTAGTCCCGTGTGTGCTGGATTTAATAGCTGAACATTATGTACACAGGATTTAGGGTACACATTTTTGACAAGTCTATCTTCAAATCTATATTTGATGAGTCTGGGCTCATCGTAAAGGCAGGAATAATACTGGTTCTCCTGTGAGTCATAACCCCAGTACCAGTCTAGCACCTGGCCCTGAGTTTGCCCCCATGTCTTAAATGGTGCGGATTCAGGAATAAAGGTAGAAAGACAGAGCTCTGGCTTCTCAGAACTCTTGGGCTTTCCCATCATGTTACAGACCTTGTGTTTTAGTTACTTTTCTCATTGCTGAGATAAAATACCAAGCACTCAAAAATTAAAGGAGGAGAGGTTTCTTTTGGCTCACAGTTGTGGAGGTTTCAGTCCACATTCCGCTGGCCCCAAGGCAGAGTGGTATTGCAGAGGGGCATCACAGAACAGAAGACAAGCAGCAGCGGCAATGAGCAACAAACACCGCAGCTCTTTCTGACCCTTTATATCTTATCCCAGGATATCCTTAGGGTGGGTAGCATTCATACTCTTAATCCTGCTCCAGTGAACCAATCCCAGCATCACATCCTTGATCCTAGCAGCACACAACCTAGATCCAGGAACCTCTGAAAAGCCCCACATGTGACTGCATACAGCTTTGGAAGGACATCTAGATACAGGCCATAACACTTTATGATGCTTTGTAAATTGGCATATGTGGTTCTGCAGGTAAGACGTATCATTGTTAATTTGTGGATTGCTACTCTCTTCTGAACGACTTTAAAGTGTACAGTTTTCTATTCACTTGCAGCTTATAACATGAAGTTGAACTTTGAGCCTCAGTGTTTTGTCCCAGAAGGTTTACAGTTTGAAGTTTCCATTGATTTCTCAGGAATGTGTTACCCAAATGTGTTTCTGAGTCATCGGGCTGAGTGATCCAGCTGCAGTAGCTCTGCAAGAGTCACTGTGGAAGCAGTGATGTCATGGGAGATTGTTCAAGCTCCCCAGGGAGGCTCCTGCCTTCACCTTTCAATTCATGAGTCCTAATGAAAGGCCCATGATCAAGTCTGTTGAGTTCACAGTTCTGGAAGAGACTAAAGTTCTGATTCTTTTGTGTTGAAGTCCCTCTATTTGGAAACTTTCGCATGCACATGTTCATTTATTCATGCATTCAGCAACTAAGGTAGAAGCCCAGCTATGTCCCAGGGAGCATCCAGGATCTCTGCCATCCTGTCGAAATAGAGCACATGGGCATGATGCGGTATGATAAACAGTATCTGAGGTACCCTGTGGTACCATGGGACCACCTAGAACAAGTGCGCTGACAGAAGTGACAGCCAAATGAGAAAGATGAGTCAGAAAGAGGAAGTGGTAAGCACAGAGCAGAGCTCCTGCCTGACAAAGCAGCTTGTACAGAGGCCTTAGATGAAGGCCATGGGCATTTAGAACAGAGCACAGAAGGCAAGCTGGATGTGGGGACAGTGGTGCCCAGGCCATGCTGCTGGAGAGGAAAGCAGGGTCAGCTCAGAAGGACAAAAGTGGTATGGGGTGTGGGGGATGCTGTGAAGGGAGGGGTGCAATCAAATTGGTGTTCGCTCAGATTTGAATGTGGCCAAGGGGTTGGAAGGACCCCCTGCCTCAAGGCCTGGAGAATCTCCTGACAAACCATGGAGCGACTGTGTAATGACTAGCGGAATAGACCACAGAGAAATGCACCATTCTGACTTCTGCCAGACCCAGGAGTGGCGCCAGTTCCATCACAGACCTCATTATGTTTAGAAGTAAACAGAAAAAAACATAGGTGCATAGCAAGTCCACATGAATTTTCACCGCCAACCAAGACTGCTTTCAATTTTTTCAGAAACACAAAATAGTACATAGTGAGTGTGACAGAAATGATAAATGAAAAATTTAAAGCAAATAATCTCTCTTTCATTCTGGCACCTTTAGGAGCACATGGACTGAGACAAGGCTCTGGACATCATCATTAGGGGCTTTTACAAAGTATCTGCATAGGGGAATAGAAACACAGAGGGCTTGATCCCAGCCTTGGAGCAGGATCATGTGCTCCTTGTCAAGGAGCGAGATACCTGGGAAGTGACCACATGCAGTCATTCCCCTCCAGACCAAATCGTGAGCAGTGGTGGAGGGATTAAAGTGGGCAGGGTTGGGCTGCTGTGCACAGTGAGAGGCTACTCCTGACAGTGTGGCTGACGCCAGGACCACAAGGTGTTTTATGAGCAAAGTTACAATGTGTGATATATGTGCCCTTTGTGGGGAGAGTAAAAGGGTGTACTTTAAAAATAGAAGCAGCTTCTTGTAGCAGATTACATCAGCTGAAGTTGTCAGGGCATGGTACAGCTTTTGCAGTCTGGTGCCCTTGAGAGAGTCCTCCTGTGGTCAATTAAGTGTCTTGTTTTTCTGGAAAGTCAGAAATGGGATGGAAGGTAATTATTCTTAATGGAATCAAGGCTGTGTTGGGTGTAAGAAAATAGTTCTGAATCCTCCAAAGAGATAGTATGGAAATGTATACGTGGGCATTTGTAGGAGTCAGAATCTTCCTAGACAAAGGACAAGGAGACCAGTGTTTTAATGAGGGCCATTTATTAAGTGGCTTAATGAAATCACATAGCATTTGTCCAGTGTTTCATCACCATAATTCAAAAGGATATCTAAAAGTATTATAGGAAATGTGAGTAATCTGTGCTTGTATTCACAGACTTATATTTATTTAGAAGTGCTAGGTTTCAGAGACCTGTTAATCCAGTAGACATATCATCAAAGGATGTGTTCCAGTGAGAACACGTGTTAACAAATGTTGGCAGCTTACTAGGTAGGACTATATTAGAGCTATTAGTTAGTGGTGTCCTTGTGTCGCAGTTGTGAAGGTTTGGGTCTGCAGAGTTGGTCAAGGACTGGTAAGCAGCAGTATTGATATAGAGGGATTTTTCCTATGAACAAAGACCTGGGTTAATTAATTTGACAGTTTCATTAATTACTG